ATATATGCATATGTGTGTATATATATATATATATATATATATTTGTACCTACCACATATTTCATTTTTAAAAGCCAAAAAGGATAAAGTAAGTTTATAATGAACCTTCAAAGTTGCACCATGAAAAAAATTCATTGCTTTAATTTTTGTTCTTTTATGAAATTTTATCCTAAGGAATCACTGAAAAATGGCTCAGACAGTATAAATTCAGCGTAGTTAAAATTACATAAGTGAAAGCAGTGATTATTCCTTCTTTTTTAATCTTTCTTTTTCATTTGGTGGTAAGGTAGTAGCAGGGTGTAGAATGGATGTAGCAGAGATGGTGAATGTGCCACCCCCTAGAGGTAATGTACACAAGGAGAAAACTAAATTGAATACATTCACATTAATCTTAAAACTATTATATTTTTAGAAAGGAAATTTAAATTTTAAATATGTATATGGCATTTTTAAATCACATGCTACACATGGCAACTCAGAAAAATGAGTATGAAAATGTTTCATAAGGTTTCTCTCTTCTTTAAGTTATTGTAAACATAAAAGCCTGTTTTTTTTTTTCCACTAGTGACCGTTCGCCTCCTCGGTAAACAAAGCTGTTTTACAATGTTCCATTTTCCTTAATGAGAAGGAAAAAAATATGTTCTCCTTTTACTCTATTTCTCTATTTGCTCCTCTAACATATAAATACCTCAAGGAGAGAGAAATAGCTATACAGCTAGTATCTAAAAGAAAGAAATTTTATAGTTTTCTGAAAACATTTGCCAAGACTTACCATTGATGAGTTGGTTACATGATAAAATACTATGATAATGTTCAGCTTTAAAAGCCAACCATGTGAAATCCAATATGAGCATAAGCTAACTTACAGGTCCCCATAAATGTTTCCCACCTAGAAAGAAAACGCAATCTAATCAATTTAGTTTTTCCCTGCCCTTGGGGTCACAACCTAAGCCTGCACTCATCAGGAACTTCCTCACCTCTGCCTCACTGACTCTGTGAACTGAAGCTTCTTCAGTTCCAGTCCTTTTCCCCATTTTTAGCTTTCTTCATGTAGCTATTTCTAGCTATAAATCCATCCTTGATATCTAGCCCACAAACCTTAGTGCTTCATACCAATGGCTTTGGTAACTTGGTGGTCGACCTGTAATTCTAACACACTTGTTCTCAAAATTTCCATCACAGATGAACCAAACATTCAACTTTACATCTTTTGCTTCCATTTTTTATCTTTACCAGCTGCTGCCTACGCTTGGTACTCCTTCAAGTATTAACTCCTAAATGCTACTAATGGTGAGATATTAAATAAATTATTTCATCTCTTTAAGCTTTGTTTCTTATATATGAAAAAATAACACAGAGAATATAGTGCATCATAGGTATTGAGATTATATTTGCAAAAGACTTAATGAGGATAGATTCTGGCACATAAAAATTATCTTCTTCATCACATATGATTATTAGTAATTTCTTTCTCTAAGCGAATGGAATCCCCGTGTACATTTCCTCTTGGTTTTCCATTATCTTCCTGCTTCCCTGTAAACTTTGTGGGGTTTTGTTCTTTGACCCATCCTTTAAGTGACACCGTTCTCCATTATTCTATCTGATGACATATTATGATTTAGTGTTCCTATAAAAGTATGCATCTTTTTAGTTATAAATAAACACCAGGAGAAACAAGTTAGTGATTGACACAGATGGCAATATTCTGATGTGTCTTCTATTACCCCTTCAAATTGTATTCTCTGTAATAGGATTTATATTTCCTCATCGAGATTTTCCTCCTCAGGGATCTTGTCTTCTCACACACACAAAAAAAGAATGACTGTATTGTGTGTTATTTTCTGCTCCTCAAAAAAGAATTTCTTTAAGAAAAAGTGCATGCTATACACCTTTGGTTTTCGCAAACAGTTGTTCTTCTATCAAATCTTTTACAAGTGAAAAAAATGGCAACTTCTCTTTTCAAGTTTCAAATCCCAGGAACAGGTAGCTTTCAAGAATTAAACCTATCCTGTTTTCTTCTAAGTAGAAAGCAGTTACAATCTGTCCGGCAAAGTACAAAACTTGCACAAGGAAAAAGCCTTGTAGAACATGAAGCTACTCAGGGATCTGAAACAAATGAAAAGGTGGATCTCTTAGGCAAGGCCTTTCCTTAATGTGTCCTGCTGTGGCTATAAGGAAACACAGGCTGAAAGAGAATCTGCACAGCAAGCTCCTGGCCCACTGAGAAGTGACTCCATGAATGCCAGACCCACCCCGTCATGACTGCAGTGTAACCCTGCACATCTGCATCCACCAGAATCAGAGCTGCAGGTCACCAATGCCCTACCTACTGCTGCTAGGAGTACACTTCCCTTGGTCCCTTTCTGTCTGCTCCCTCCCAGCCAGACTGCTTGAGGTCGCTCCGCCAATTCACAGCCTGTTTTGCAGTGGTGACTTCACCTGTGTGTCAGGGAAGAATGGGTGGACTGGTGGTCCTGCCTCTCAAATTCCAATGCTAGTGTCCCTGCAGTGTTTTCAGCTCCATCACTTCACTCCCAAAGAAATCCCCCTCTCTCCCTTTTCTCTTTCCATTTCTTTCTCGTCTGTCGCAT